CTCAATATAAAAAAATTTTATGTCATTGTGTTGTTGATAACGAGATGCATAATCCAATTGACAACTTGGTTCAACACTTGTGAGTGAGTTTGCTAGAATATACTCACTTCCGACACTATAGTACATTGATAAGGTCAGTCAATTTAGACGAAATTTCGGATGGCTTGATCGTCGCAACTACTGGGTATATGATAACAACTATTACATGGTTGCTGGTATATACTTTTATCGTTGTTACTCTCGATATGCATTTTGCTCCGCGTGTGGAATACTCCGATGTAGTCCTGTATGGTGCATTTATGGACATAAAGAATTATCCAATGAATGGTCTAGCAACAATAAGCAGCTCGATGAGTTTATTAAGAAATCTCAACTACAAACAAACTCGGTAAATGATGCCTATTTGGAATGGATTCCATTCGATTGTTTGGAGGATATGGGGGATATGGTGTATACTTGTACGGTCTACCTACTCGCTTGAAGTAACGGATGAGCAGATGATTTATATTATGACAAGGTGATTATCAAATATTCGTTTATAATAGCACAACTATATTTCCCATCCAAGCCACACAGCACATCTCCGATACCGGTTCTACACAGAAATTCGATAGAATAATCGTCGCGAATGCCGACCAAAAAAAAACTTTGATTTCCCCCCCCCCCTTAATACCCTCCACACTCTGCATTACCATCCCACGATCTTCCAATCCCAACCCCTTATACACTTCCATTGTTAAAACATCACAGCAACGAACCGCCAGGATACCGATTAGGTAGTATCGGAAAAGGCAATCACGTTTAAACAAAATTGCGTCAACAAATTGATCTTACTCTGCATAAAGAGTCATAATAACTATTCCATACTAATATAATTTTTTGTAGATCAACATACGTTACAATAATCGATAAATCTATATTATGTATAACCTTATTGTTATCACTATATGAAATTAAACGTTATTATGTAGTCGCTATTCAACGAGATAATGTCTTAACATAGTTTTGCTACATACAGAAAGATGCGTTTATTACAGACAAATGTATTATGGAAGAATATCAACAACTACAACTATTAGCACAGAACCATTTAAACATGTACCACCAAATCTTAGCGAATTTATTGATATACACGTAACTGGAAACATGTATAGCGCGTGGTATAAAACTATACACACACGCATAAAACCCATACTGAAGCGAACATTGCGATATCAACAGCAGAATCAAAAAGACTATATTAGAATATACACTAGCAGTTTGCTTAGATGATCGTTATCATTATACAATAATGCGTTGTATAATCGTTATAATGGTAAATTTGATGATATACTGCGCTATAGAAACATGGAAAGAAAAAAAACCAATCACCGTTTAAACATGCAAAGCGCAATGGAGTGGTATTACAATACTCTGATCGTAAAAAGGAATTGTTAGGAAATGCCCATTATCATCCTCACAGGGCAGCTGACCCTTAAGAAGGCTCGGCTAAAACCCTACAAATATTACTCGTCACCATCACTATCACATCCCAAAGAATATTGCAAGAATAAAAATAGCTGTCACTATTACATCATTGCGTGAAGACAACGAGACAACTCTTAGCTTTGTAAATAAATTTATAATTAATAAACTCTATTTATAGGTGATTAGTAGAAATATGCAAGTTTCCGCTTAATATATTAATATTACAATTGGCATAAAGAATATAACGCCCATTTGTGTCACACAATATATCATTATAATATATGTTATATTGCTTTTTATAATACAACACTGTAAAATTCATGTACCAACCATAGATGAATTACAGGGAATGCAGATTGCACATCCGTGGTACAAGTCTCATACACAGGAAAGGCTGTTCGCCGCAGTTCGTGTGCTGCATGAAATATAAATTAGGAAGTTGTAGGAAATAAAAAAATCCAGCCCCGCAAATAATGGCGTAAAAGCCTCCTATAAAGCACTTCGCGGACTTTCGAAAATAAAGATTTTTCATGTTTTACTACTTGATTTCCGGACAACTGTGTTCTTGCAACTTATACACTCTATAACTGTGTATGTGACACGATGAAGGCAAGTTATAAAGATAGTGTAAGTCCAAACATGAATTCTAACAAACTTACTTGTTAAACCATTCTCACCAAATGTCTGCCCGCTTATCTCCTGATAAAATAACCATTTTCGCCCCTTACTAATGTTGATATAACGAAGAACAGAATATTATGAGCAACGGATATTATACCAATGTCTGTCAACCATTTTACCCGGATGATAATTTGGAAAACACCTTGGCATCCTATCCAAGTCAAATGCCCATTTGTTTGCACGCCCAATTTCATATTCTTCCTTCCGCTACTTCCTTTCTCTCCCCAATAATATCGATATGACTGTTATGAATACTATGGACTACAGGAATGCTGCTAGCGACTATGTATCATATCAAGGAACCGCTAATCACCCAGTGTCTGAGTGATATTCACACGATGAACGGGCAGTCGAATATACCGATTCAGGATCAAGTCGGAAACTATACTAACAGTTCTTATCAGGTCCCGGTATCATTGCTTGGCTTCTCTGCGCTAGATGTTGAAAATAATTATCCGTCAGATCCTGTTATCAACCATTCATCAATTTCATACATTCTTACGCAAATGCCAATGCAAACTTCACTTTCATCTAACGACACTAACATAATTAATGAGCCCACTAACCCTGGATATGTTGTTATGAAAGTAGAGTGTACTCACTTAGGCAGGATATTAGCTGCTGACATTGAAAAATATTACCAACACCTCAATAATTAAGAACAAGTTGTCTTTTGGATGATAGTGTCTTTCACCAGCAGACAGTACTGTATCTATTTTGTTTAACTGCCTAGTTGTCAATGAACAATTGCTAATATTTAGTCGGCATTGCATTGATTACTTATCGCAGACCAGTTAAATCTATATAGCTTTAGACATCTCAATCTACATTCAGCCATTTGATTGTTGTCAACGATAAGATTCGTATTTCCGCGATACTGCTACTCCCCCAACTGTTAATTCCCTATAGACGCTAATGGAATTATACGGTGATTTGAAGACAACGAGTGCATGGCAGAAAAGACGTATACACTACCTACAAAAGAGTCGATCTATTATTAGTAAAACATATAAGAAATCTTTTTTTTTTTAAAAAAAAAAAATATTCTCTGTTGGCTGTATCTACTAAGCGGACAACAAAATTTTTTTGTATTGATATGAAGCTAATTTATGCAAGTTTTCATAACAATCTGTTGAACTTTGAATATCTACGATTATTACTTGGTTACCATTCGCTTTAAATAGGTTCGTCTCTGTTTTGTCAAAAGTTGTTATTTTTGAAGCGGGTATGTCAGCTTTTTATAGGGAAGATTGTTGGCCGAAGTCATATTACATTGGTTTATGTCAAGAGTCGTTATGGTGCTATACAGATAAAGAAAGGTGGCGTATAGTTTTAGTTTTATGTTTGTAAACGTGACGTATATTTCTATACTATAAATGTGGAGAGGTAAGCAATATTAACTATCATCTGGAATATAAATGCGACGTATTCTTTCAGGACTAGCGTCATGGGAAAATGTATATGACGTATTTTGTTTTTTTTTGTATCTTCAATACTTAATGCATCAAACTATTAAACTTTTAGCATGATATTTATGTAATCTGTTTACCAAACTCCCCTACTATTACGCGAATCTCCCGATTCCCCTTTTTTTGACCTTGTTCTAGCCATAAACCGTCTTTACTATATAGCATACTATATGAAACAGAAAGTGTAGATAATTTGTCTTGTCACTGAACTATGGGTGAGCAATTTCGGGTATTTGGAAGAAGCAAATATATCCAGCCAGTTATTAACATAACATACATCTCTTCGCTAATAGTTATTGATAATAAATAAACTAAGTATTCTACGTTTGACCGAAGAGTTGAACTATTTTCAATGAGAATAAGTCGTTATTAGTTTCTAGTGGGTGGGTATCTACTTTTTTTTTGTCAACGGTGATCCACGCTTTCCGTTCAACTCTACCCACTATTTCTTTAAAGTAAATCGTCACCATCACTATCACATCCCAAAGAATATTGCAAGAATAAAAATAGCTGTCACTATTACATCATTGCGTGAAGACAACGAGACAACTCTTAGCTTTGTAAATAAATTTATAATTAATAAACTCTATTTATAGGTGATTAGTAGAAATATGCAAGTTTCCGCTTAATATATTAATATTACAATTGGCATAAAGAATATAACGCCCATTTGTGTCACACAATATATCATTATAATATATGTTATATTGCTTTTTATAATACAACACTGTAAAATTCATGTACCAACCATAGATGAATTACAGGGAATGCAGATTGCACATCCGTGGTACAAGTCTCATACACAGGAAAGGCTGTTCGCCGCAGTTCGTGTGCTGCATGAAATATAAATTAGGAAGTTGTAGGAAATAAAAAAATCCAGCCCCGCAAATAATGGCGTAAAAGCCTCCTATAAAGCACTTCGCGGACTTTCGAAAATAAAGATTTTTCATGTTTTACTACTTGATTTCCGGACAACTGTGTTCTTGCAACTTATACACTCTATAACTGTGTATGTGACACGATGAAGGCAAGTTATAAAGATAGTGTAAGTCCAAACATGAATTCTAACAAACTTACTTGTTAAACCATTCTCACCAAATGTCTGCCCGCTTATCTCCTGATAAAATAACCATTTTCGCCCCTTACTAATGTTGATATAACGAAGAACAGAATATTATGAGCAACGGATATTATACCAATGTCTGTCAACCATTTTACCCGGATGATAATTTGGAAAACACCTTGGCATCCTATCCAAGTCAAATGCCCATTTGTTTGCACGCCCAATTTCATATTCTTCCTTCCGCTACTTCCTTTCTCTCCCCAATAATATCGATATGACTGTTATGAATACTATGGACTACAGGAATGCTGCTAGCGACTATGTATCATATCAAGGAACCGCTAATCACCCAGTGTCTGAGTGATATTCACACGATGAACGGGCAGTCGAATATACCGATTCAGGATCAAGTCGGAAACTATACTAACAGTTCTTATCAGGTCCCGGTATCATTGCTTGGCTTCTCTGCGCTAGATGTTGAAAATAATTATCCGTCAGATCCTGTTATCAACCATTCATCAATTTCATACATTCTTACGCAAATGCCAATGCAAACTTCACTTTCATCTAACGACACTAACATAATTAATGAGCCCACTAACCCTGGATATGTTGTTATGAAAGTAGAGTGTACTCACTTAGGCAGGATATTAGCTGCTGACATTGAAAAATATTACCAACACCTCAATAATTAAGAACAAGTTGTCTTTTGGATGATAGTGTCTTTCACCAGCAGACAGTACTGTATCTATTTTGTTTAACTGCCTAGTTGTCAATGAACAATTGCTAATATTTAGTCGGCATTGCATTGATTACTTATCGCAGACCAGTTAAATCTATATAGCTTTAGACATCTCAATCTACATTCAGCCATTTGATTGTTGTCAACGATAAGATTCGTATTTCCGCGATACTGCTACTCCCCCAACTGTTAATTCCCTATAGACGCTAATGGAATTATACGGTGATTTGAAGACAACGAGTGCATGGCAGAAAAGACGTATACACTACCTACAAAAGAGTCGATCTATTATTAGTAAAACATATAAGAAATCTTTTTTTTTTTAAAAAAAAAAAATATTCTCTGTTGGCTGTATCTACTAAGCGGACAACAAAATTTTTTTGTATTGATATGAAGCTAATTTATGCAAGTTTTCATAACAATCTGTTGAACTTTGAATATCTACGATTATTACTTGGTTACCATTCGCTTTAAATAGGTTCGTCTCTGTTTTGTCAAAAGTTGTTATTTTTGAAGCGGGTATGTCAGCTTTTTATAGGGAAGATTGTTGGCCGAAGTCATATTACATTGGTTTATGTCAAGAGTCGTTATGGTGCTATACAGATAAAGAAAGGTGGCGTATAGTTTTAGTTTTATGTTTGTAAACGTGACGTATATTTCTATACTATAAATGTGGAGAGGTAAGCAATATTAACTATCATCTGGAATATAAATGCGACGTATTCTTTCAGGACTAGCGTCATGGGAAAATGTATATGACGTATTTTGTTTTTTTTTGTATCTTCAATACTTAATGCATCAAACTATTAAACTTTTAGCATGATATTTATGTAATCTGTTTACCAAACTCCCCTACTATTACGCGAATCTCCCGATTCCCCTTTTTTTGACCTTGTTCTAGCCATAAACCGTCTTTACTATATAGCATACTATATGAAACAGAAAGTGTAGATAATTTGTCTTGTCACTGAACTATGGGTGAGCAATTTCGGGTATTTGGAAGAAGCAAATATATCCAGCCAGTTATTAACATAACATACATCTCTTCGCTAATAGTTATTGATAATAAATAAACTAAGTATTCTACGTTTGACCGAAGAGTTGAACTATTTTCAATGAGAATAAGTCGTTATTAGTTTCTAGTGGGTGGGTATCTACTTTTTTTTTGTCAACGGTGATCCACGCTTTCCGTTCAACTCTACCCACTATTTCTTTAAAGTAAATCGTCAATGAATCTTCACAGCTTTTCGATTCAAAAGTTTCAGTAGTAGTATTGTCAAATAAACAAGAGTGTATGTCTTCCGAACGACTATCCATATCTTCTCATTTACTTTGCCTTAGCTGCTTTCCACTATCACAGTGTTGATGTGCATTTTAATAATCGCAAGAACAACTTAGTTTTCAATTACTGCGGACTGCTTGTTGGAGTTTTGCTGGCTGTTTATTATATACAACTTAGGAAATAAACATGTCTATTAGACATGGCATTTTTTTCCGTGTGGTGTAAACAGATCGCTTTGCCATATGACATATTGGATTTTATTTCACATTAAACTGCCCTATTTTTACCAACATCTAACATGTCGATTCCAGAAAGTCTCACCTCAACACCTCAATAATAGTAACTTCTTTATTACTCAAAATTTAAATCCAGTTGACTGATATCAAAAAATGTGCTTTGCAATTCTACTCGAAAGACCATTCAATAAATAAAATAATTTCAGCTTCAGGTTAAGTATAAATATTTTAAGTAGTGCAGATAGTAGGTAGTAACCAGTATGGTGTGCAAAAATTACACCATACAGAACAGTTAGACATTCCAACAATTTACTAACAGACAGTGAGATTATATGTTTAAATGTTATGAAATCTTTACTATGCACAACTCAACATTTACCAACATCATCCATAAACTAAAGTTTACTAACTGAAAATACTTCCCAGTCTGCCCATTTAAACCTACTTGAATCTGACCTTATTGCTGTTTTGTATGAGTTCTTCATAGCAAGAGGATCATACTGATTATCAGCTCTACCAAAAAGTAAATCACCATTACCAAAATGAGGATAGCTAAATCCATGTTCCCTAATAGCAAAATTATTATTAACCACAGGACTCACTATGTTTTTCTCTGCATTATCCTTATCTAATGAAAATATAAAGCTTTTTGAAGTTGGAACACATATGAAAGAACTAGCCAAAGAGGAGAAAGTTTTCCAGGAAATTGGATTATATCCACCAAGTATTTCATCTGTATCCAATACCATGCCAACAGCTATTGTGGGTCCTTTCTCAGCACAAGTTTCTCGAAAGTTTTCAGCATCTCTACTGTGTCTATAAAGTAGAGTCAGTCTATAAAAACCATTATTCACTCGAGGCGTTTTTTTGATTTTTTTGATTTGGCTTAGTTAATTCCACAATCTTCTGTGAGATCCATGCTGCTTGTTGTTCATTAATGATTACTGAGTCAATATTAGACTTGATAGCTGCTCGGCCTTTCCTTGGTGGTAGCATTGGAATAGTTGGTTTATAGTTATTTTCCATGTGATAATGAAGGATGTCATGGCGTAAAGTCTTTGTTAATAATTCATCATATGGAACAATTTTCTTACTAACATCTTCAGATGAGATATTAAAGAATCTTATGTGAGGAATAACATCGGATATAACTGCTCTGACTTTTACAACATCATCAAATGACCAATCCTTTGGTTCATTTACAAGTCCTGGAATTTGCATAACGGCCCATTGTATTACTGATGTCCAAATATCAATTTCTTCCATATTAAGCTCATCATGTTTGAGAAGAGTAATCAAGGTCTCTTTTGGTACGCTCTTTAAATCATCAGATTTAAAAATAATCTCTGGCGTTGATACCATGATTTGATTGCAATAATCCAAAAGCCTGCTTAACAAGTTTGAGGATAAAGCATGTTTACGAACTGTAAAAACATTGCGTTGGATCCATTCCTTCTGTTGATTAATCAAATAGTCTCCAACAGCAACCACAAGACCATCCAATTCAAATGTGCATGCGACATCCAAAAAGCCAATCCAATCTATAACCTCATTTGAACAATGAGTCACTTTTCCTGTGTAAATAAATCTATAACATCAATAAAGCGTTCGGGTAAGTAAAATATTGCTTATGAATGTCGTTGCCGGTAGCAATCTAATACTGATAAATGGTCTTCTCTAGCTAAGAGAACTTACCTGAGGCAGATTTCAAAAAATTCAGGTGTGACGTCCTCAAATGCCATGGCTGCTTGTTGGATATCATTAGATGATTCTGTATTTCCGGTTAATTTGCTTTCAAAGTATACGCTTCTTGCACACAACACCACTGCATGGGCAAAAAATATTTTGTTGTTCGGCCCTCTTCCAATGTTAATCGAAACGTCTGTATATTTGCCACTTTCATAAAGCTTTCCAAAGTCAGACGAAAGACCCGAAGATAAATCAACAACGTCAATCATATCGAAGTACGGAGCATGTGTTGAAAGAACTGATGTATGGTGATCCTGCACTGCATATCGGCATGTGATTACGTAAATAGATGTCACGTTATTTTACGTAGTACCAACTAGTGAGCAAGACAAAAAATTAAATAGTTCAAGTTGGAAGTAAATTATAGCAGTTTGCAAATTTCAAATTTTCATCAAATAAAATTTTTTGAAAAATTCTCGAAAGGTATACAGTTCACACCCACCCAACGCGCAACATTTAACGATAAATGGATGATATTAAAAACAATTTCATGCTTGTACCAATACAGCACCGCCAACATCGCTACTGGATGGTGCAACGGCGATGGACGAACAGGAGTGTGAACAGGAGTAGGCTGTGATTCTTACCACACTGGTTCTGGTCGTTTTGCTCAGGCACACTCACTGTTTTGAAACAATGCTTTTAGCCCAGATGGATACTGATGTCCTAAACACTTGATGGTGCTGACGGCATGGCGTTAGCTTTGGTAGGGCAATGATCTGGATATTTTGTAGATTGATTATGCATCTGTGATAGAGGTTGCTGGGATGAGAAGGCGATGTTTGTGCCGTAGAGGAGCGTGAATGCTGGGCTTGACGGTTGTTGCGATTGTGAGTTAAGTTTATATAATATCGTCACACGATTTGCGAAGCAAACGTATTTTCAAAATCAC